CCCCAAAACCCCAAAACCCCAAAACCCCAAAACCCCAAAACCCCAAATGCTTACCTTAAATAGAAAATGGTTTTTCATAATTCGCATTGGCTATTATTAAGAATAGTTTATTTTATTTCAGAATTCTCTAGGAAATATAAAAATGACCCAAGAAGATAATTAGGAGTTTCTTGAACGAAGTTCTTTAATTTTCTCAATAAATTTGGATTTTTGTTAAAACTTTGATAACCCAACTCTGAGTTATACATTAGAACCATGGATTTAGTAGAATGATGACGTAGTGAACGGAAATATTATCGTTTGAAGAAAAATTAAAGAGCTAGCACTAAAAAGAGAACTAAAAAACTCTTCATTGAATCTGAACAAAGAGAAATAATATTTAACGTTTGTAATAATTATAAACCAAGTCCACTATTAAAGCGTCTTTAGTTAAATTTTCCTCGATAAAACCTAAGCATGAGACTTTCACTATAACTTGTTCAGGATGAAATTAATTGAAATTTACTAGAAATTCTTAAGGCTTTAAGAGATTGGTTCTTCGTGAAAAACAAAGAAGTGAGAAATTTCGAATATTATTAAGAAAATTGAAAAATTACTACCATTCTGAATACTTTCTGAAATATTGACTAAAACAGGAAGTTTTATAATCAAACTTATCAAAAACATTCGTATTGTAAAATTAAAGGTATCAGCTAGAGTAAAAACTTCACAGCCAAGAACGATTCAGGCGTTAACCTAGTGAAGATTTAGAGTTGATTAAATTTAGCAAATTATCATATTATACAACCTGCCTATTTCTTGCGAAATTCATATCAAGTGAGTATTCTGGAAAGTAGCCAAAACAAGGTTGATGGTAAATTTTTAGACAATAAAGTTTACATATCAAGTCTGAAATTAGACAAATTTTTGGAGTGTCTGCATTCCACAATTTGTTCACAGATCTCTCTGAGTCTTTCCGTCGTCTTGCCTGGGAAGTGGTATATTATTTTGTCGTAGTCTAAGTTCTTATACTCATACTCCTTCTTAACGATTTGTTTGAGAGTCTTAATCTCTCTTACTGAGAAGTCCTTCTTATAAAGAGACTGGATCCTTTGGACCAGGTTCTTCATCAATGATTTCCAGCCAAACCTTCTTGCAAGGATTCTGATTCCTTGGTTAGTATAGGCTTCTCTATTCGGGTTCATTGCAAGGATATCATTGATGCCTATCTTACCCTCTGCTTGGAGAGTCCTAATGAGAGCAAACAGCTTTTTATCTTCAGCTCTGCCCCATCTAATTCCTTTATAGTTCTTCTTGGAAGGCTGCGATACTTCAATTTGTAGTTGATCTTGAAGGTCTTCATCTTGATATTTCTTCGATAACTCCTTGACCTCTTCCTGAAATCTGGACTTCTTCCCATGAAGCTTAACTTCTTGTTTTTCCTCTCTAACGATGTCAGGGTTATCAGAGACGAGAGGAGTTTCATTCTTGTCTTTATCCACAGATGAAGCATCATCTTGGGAAACTTTTTCAAATTTCGGTCCCATATCTCCTTTATGTGTATTAATAGGATCCTCTTCAATTTGGTTTGTCTCAGTTTCTTTATTCTCAACATTCAGATCTTTAGTAAGCTGTAGAAGAGGTCTTAAGGAAGGAACTTTGATGTTATTGGCTCCTACTCTTTCAATAGTCTCTTTATGATCAATATACCTTGCCTTAGGTGTATATTTTGGAGCACTTTCTGATTTCCAATATGGTGCAGGAAGTGTCCTGGCAAAGTCGTTTTGAGTAAAATTATTTTGAGCCAACTGAGAATCTCTTTGCTGCTGTATCTTAATAAACTCTGAGATTCCTGCGACCTCAAATTTTCAGACCATATGCGAGTAGTTCCGGGGGTTCCATCTCTGAAAAGCCCAGTTTATTGGCTCCTGATACATTCCGTAATATTGCGAGGGAGGCTATGAAAAGATAAGTCTTTGATTACGAAAATCAGAAATAATTCACAATTTCAGATGCTTTAGCTTCCCAAACATTCGTATCATCGTTGGGAAATTTTAGAAACTATGAAAATTACTGTAAATTTTATAATAAGCATGAACTATTTCACCAGGATGTGCATGTGCTAAGAAGGAGCCAAAATGAAGCTAAAATCGTAATGGAAACAAATACAGCCAAGGTGTTCTAATTTCTCACCTAAAATGGAAACACTTTGCAGATTTTTAGAATTATGTGTTATATCAAGTTATTCGATAAGCTTTTAAATACGAAAAATGCCAAATAGAAGCCACAAGTAACTTTTGGTTAACTGACTTGGGACTAACCAATTCGTTTGGGCACCTTACCTGTAAGCAGTACATGTCATATCTAGGGACGTAATTCTGGCTGGCAATAATCATTGGAGGGTGGGTTCTTACTATAAGTAGTGTTAATAAGTCATAAAATAACACTCAAGCAGTTAAATTTAGAAAAAGAGATTATAGAAAGTCCATTCCAAAAGTCAATTTTCATGCAAATGTAAGTTCATAAACTGTACAGGTTTCACTATAATTAGATATAGCTTTAGATGCCCCTACTTGGTCTTAAACTAGCATATTTTGATGTCAATTTAGTTCTTGTGGGAAGCTTACCCAAGCCATGCAGCAATAAAATAAGGCTTGTTCTCTTCAAAATCTCTGACAAATTCTCCCAAAATAACTCTCACTGTCCTCATCCAAAAAGAGGAAGTTTAAAGCGTATCAGCTAACTTATAACGCTAAAAGCCTGATTTAGTTCTTAACTAAAGTAATTTCTAATTTTCTTCAAATCTAAGCAAGTAATCAGAGAACTTTCTGGGCATCCTCAAGTCCTACTATCATTTCCAGGGCCAAATAGAAACACTTATGCAAACTAATAATATCTCTTCCATGTTGTCGTAACTCAGCTAGCAAGTTATCGGCCCAACTACTCTCGTGTTAATTTAACACACTTTGACAGAGATTTATATGAAGAAGAGGGTCTAGAGGAGGGATGCAGAAAGAATGTTAACTTTACTGCTGAAGATATTTTTCCTATAGTTAACGAAATGGTAAAACTCTCAGGTGCATAAAGAGTAAGAATCTTTGAATAATTTCTTTAGAATAAGGTAGAAGCTTCTGATACCATCCTAAATACTTTAATATGTTTCAGGGTAAAATTTTAATATTGTGACTCTAATTCGAAAGTTCTCCTCAAAAGCACTCTAGTGGTCTCCATGAAAACTCATACACCTAGACACTCTAGCTTCCTCCATCACTTTCTCTTACTAATCCTTAACCTTACCATTTTCCTGATTGATCTCCTGTCTATTTCCCCAAAACCTTCTTGCACTGTAGTCTTGGCTATCAAACTCTCTCGTTCTTTCTGACATTTGCTGAACTTTAAAATTATGAGATTAATATTTATTCAATAATATTCATCCAAGAGGGGTTTTGGGGTTTTGGGGTTTTGGGG